CTTCTCTAAAACATCATATATAATGAAACTTAGGGAGTATTTGATATCTATATATATACAAATAATTAATTTGTTTAAAGTATAGTTTTTTATTGGTTTAATTATTTTTATTATATATAAAATAAAAATCCTGTTTTTTTACATAGTTTTTTAACAATCGTAATTTTAGCTAAAAAAAATTATATTTTGAAACACGGAGAGTATTTGATAAGATAATAAAACTCTAAATAATGAAGGTAAACAAGAGCCAAAACAAACGAATAATATTTTGTAGAGTTTACAGCCACTTTATAATTTGTAACGTTTTATATTGGACCAATCACAAAAGCGATACCAAAAAACATTACACTCAGCTTTATTTGTACAGTTTGTTCTTACAGTTTTGCACTATGTTGTAATGCTTACCGCTCCAGCTTACAGCTAAAAAACAATGTAGTTATAAGTTTGCGGATTTGGAAAAATCCTAGCCGCTCGAAAACGCTCTCTAAACTTTCCATCAACGTAATCCTTACAGCAGCCTGGATCCAGCTGACTCCGGAATGGGGTCGCCGACTCCGGCCACGTTCACCCACCCCCGTTCACCTAAATCACCTCAAAACCAGTCCTCACCGTCAAACCCGTCTCAAAAAGCTTCGTGGTTCTCTTTTGATTCAGAGAAAGTATTACCAGCTTCATCCCTTGTTTCGGATGTCAAAGTAGTGAATGGTGTTGCCAAGACCGTCATACTAGAAGGTTTGATAAAGAACTTCCAGCCTTTGTGGAAGAATTATATTGTCAGATTTTTCATTGGAGATGCGCCTCATATAGGAAAGGTCCATGCCACTGTGAATCGTTTATGGTCTTCGGATAAATTAACGAAGATTGATGCTCAATTTCTTAACCCAAAAACTGTTCTGTTTTCGGATCGAGGATCCACATATGCGAAAGCGTGTTCTCAAGAGGCATTATTGGCATATTGGGGATATCCCTCTGGTGGTTCAGGAGTGGTCACCAAGAACGGCTAATCTTAAGCCGGACCTGTCGGCTATGCCCATTTGAGTGGATTTTAAAAATGTTCCAGACAATCTGTTTTCGGAGAAAAGCTTATTTTTCTTGGAGATATTATTGGTGCTGCTCAGAAACTTCACCCTAATACAGACAGGTGTGTCCGGCTAGATGTAGCTAGAGTATTGGTGGTGGTAAAGTTGGAGAAGAAAATAACCAGCTTTGATCTCTTTGGACACAACGTAGGAGACATTGATTCTGGTGAGTTACCCTTGGCTACCTCCACGATGTGGTACATGTCATATATGGGGGCATAAAGACATCGAATGTGTGCAAATGAAAATTGGGGGGATGGTAATTCGTGGAGATGAGAGAATGTGGGAGAGGAAACCATGGTGAAAGATATATGCAAGCAGGTAGGAAATGACTCAGGGTCCCTTGACTCACACGTAAACTCAAAATTTGGGACATCAGTGGTAGAGGATAGCAGTGTGATAGCCAATAACAACTTGGTGGATGAGACATCAAAAAACACAGAAGGTGTTGATCCAGTGATTTCTGCAGAAGGAAAGGAGACAGAGCAGAATTAGATTAACGTGACGAAACATGGGAACAGCTCACCTGCAAAACGGGCTGAGCAGGTTTCATTACTCTTTTCGAGTTCAGAGGTAGCCAAACCAAAAGAAACGATCTCTCCATCTCGGTTCAATGTTCTCTCAGCGATCGATGAAGCTGAGAACCATGAAGAAGGAGAAATTACAGAAGAAGCAGCAGCTAATGAGGTGGTTAAGGAGGACTCGTCCTCGTCGAAGGAAGAGCCACTGATTAAAAAAATCAACCTAAGGACAGAAAATAATCAATCAAGGAAGAAGAGAAATCAGAGGAATCAGACGGTTCCTCGCAGAGACCAGGAAGTGTCACATAACAACAACAAACCAAAAAGATCCTCCTCACGGAGGAGCTGATGATCATGACGACTTATTTTGCGTGGAATACTCGTGGCTTCCACAAAATGCGCAAACATAATC